CTGCGACCCGATCCACCTGCGGGCCAGGTGGGCGCGCGTCCGCGTCACGTCGCCTAGAGACGGGGCCTGGCGTTTGCGCCTAAATTCCTATGATAATCACATATAAGATAGCAATGCACATTAATTATACATTATTCATTATCTAATCATTCATTTATTATTATTCTACGTATACATCCTAGAGAATATACCGACGCAATTGAATTATAAATATTTAATTATAAATGCTTATTGCTATACATCCTAGATAATACAGCTATGCAATTTAATTAGGAATATTTAATTATGAATATTTATTACTATACATCCTAGATAATATAGCTATGCAATTTAGTTATAAATATTTAATTATGGATATTTATTACTATACATCCTAGATAATATAGCTATGCAATTTAGTTATAAATATTTAATTATGGATATTTATTACTATACATCCTAGATAATATAGCTATGCAATTTAGTTATAAATATTTAATTATGGATATTTATTACTATACATCCTAGATAATATAGCTATGCAATTTAGTTATAAATATTTAATTATGGATATTTATTACTATACATCCTAGATAATATAGCTATGCAATTTAGTTATAAATATTTAATTATGGATATTTATTACTATACATCCTAGATAATATAGCTATGCAATTTAGTTATAAATATTTAATTATGGATATTTATTACTATACATCCTAGATAATATAGCTATGCAATTTAGTTATAAATATTTAATTATGGATATTTATTACTATACATCCTAGATAATATAGCTATGCAATTTAGTTATAAATATTTAATTATGGATATTTATTACTATACATCCTAGATAATATAGCTATGCAATTTAGTTATAAATATTTAATTATGGATATTTATTACTATACATCCTAGATAATATAGCTATGCAATTTAGTTATAAATATTTAATTATGGATATTTATTACTATACATCCTAGATAATATAGCTATGCAATTTAGTTATAAATATTTAATTATGGATATTTATTACTATACATCCTAGATAATATAGCTATGCAATTTAGTTATAAATATTTAATTATGGATATTTATTACTATACATCCTAGATAATATAGCTATGCAATTTAGTTATAAATATTTAATTATGGATATTTATTACTATACATCCTAGATAATATAGCTATGCAATTTAGTTATAAATATTTAATTATGGATATTTATTACTATACATCCTAGATAATATAGCTATGCAATTTAGTTATAAATATTTAATTATGGATATTTATTACTATACATCCTAGATAATATAGCTATGCAATTTAGTTATAAATATTTAATTATGGATATTTATTACTATACATCCTAGATAATATAGCTATGCAATTTAGTTATAAATATTTAATTATGGATATTTATTACTATACATCCTAGATAATATAGCTATGCAATTTAGTTATAAATATTTAATTATGGATATTTATTACTATACATCCTAGATCATATACCTATGCAATTTAATTAGGAATATTTAATTATGAATATTTATTACTATACATCCTAGATCATATAGCTATGCCATTTAATTAGGACTGTTAATTATAAATATTTTTACTATACATCCTAGATCATGTACCTATGCAACTGAATTATAAATATTTAATTATAAATGCTTATTACTATACATCCTAGATAATACAGATATGCAATTGAATTATAAATATTTATTAATGAGTGTTTATTACTATACATCCTAGATAATATAGCTATGCAATTTAGTTGTAAATATTTAATTATGGATATTTATTACTATACATCCTAGATCATATACCTATGCAATTTAATTAGGAATATTTAATTATGAATA